AGTTTGTCCTTTGGTAGCTTATTCCTTGTTGCTTTAAATCTCTTGGTTTTAGATTTATCTCCACTTTATACCTCTTCAGCCTCTTTTTTTTGTTGTTGTTGTCATTTCATTAAGCTTTCTCTGCTTTAGTGGAGGCCTTCACTACCTACTACCTACTTGATGTGAAAAATGCTTATGATGTGAAGGGTGTATGTAAAGTACAAAAGGTGCGTGAAAGAAAGGACATCTCTGTCCAGACTGAAGTAATACGAATGACTGGAAGGGCGAACATCCGTTCTCAAGAAAATTGTCTCATTCTGAAGCATACTGTGTATAGCTGGGCTCCCCTGCAGCTGATGTGTGGCTGTTCCAGTCTGCAACCAGGTATGGACACTGGCAGGCTCGGGGCATTGTTCCACCAAGGGCTCTGCAGTACGATGGCAAGGCTGCCATGGCGTCAAGGTGACTCCAGCTCTTGGGACAGCTTTTGGCAACAAGGGTTGCCTATGTGCGATGTAACGGGAAGGGAGAGAGAGTTAAGTGGCAGACTGCGTGAGGCTGAAATGAGTCAGCCACTCCGAGGGGGCTGGAAGAAATGTATAGTCTGTATAGAGGAGCATTGGGCTGCCCTGAGCTGGAGGCGAGGAGTTCGGATTTCTGCAAATCCAATTCATCTGATGTTCTTGGCAGTTAGGGGAGGAAACTCACAGCAGAGAGCTCTGGTGTGTGAGGAGTGATGACTCTCAGGCTGCCTTCTGGGAAGGCAGGCCAATAAACGTGGTTACCATGTACTGCAACAACAGTCCTGAAGAGGGAGCGTAAACTAATAGTAGTATCCAGGGCAATATAAATCGTCTCCTTTGTGATGGAGTGAGCAGTGTATGACTAAAGGCTACAGCCCTGCACAACCATTCACAGGAAAAATTTACGTATAGGTGTCTGTCCTGACTAATGATTTTACCCCTTTTTGCCAAGACAGAGAAATTCAACCTGTTTATTGAAATTCTTCATGCAAGAATTTTTCTGGGAATTTCATCATCTCACAAACTTCACGCTGCAATTTATTCTTCACTTGCTTCTTCTAAATACTGGATCTTTCTGTCCAAACATGGCGATCCCTTCCACCCCTTTCTTGCATTTTAGAGTTTCAAAATCTGGTCTCAGAATTTCTTTTTATCTTTTTAATGGTACTAATTCAGAGGATTTGGCATTTCTCCTACTGATCTCTACTACTGAGAAGTATTGTAGGAGCATAATTGTGAGGTAAAAGAGTTTTGAGGAAAAAAAAAAGCACTAGGTATTTTCAGGTGCTCACACAGTGAAATATCATTAGCGCTGTGTAATTTGCTTGGAGTAGTCCAGCCTTGGAATGTGTAGCAGTATTTCACTGCGTGAAAAATTATTGTTGCTTCAGCTGCAGCCATATCCATCTCCCTGGGAAGACTTCCAGCTTCAAAGGGAAATCTAGTTGTACATGTTTGAACTGTGTTTTTAGCTGCAACATAATCTTTTCTGTCTTCTGGCTGTCCATTAGAAATGGTAATGAAAACATGGCACACGGTCCTTTCAGCCTCAGTGTAACCTTTCTCTTTCTCAGGAAAGAAAAGTTCCTCAACCCAGAGGGTAATTCAGTTACTGACATCCTTTCAGAAGCTTTGAAGGTATGCTTTGTTGGAGTGTCTGCATGCTAATCTGTAGAGTAAAGCAAAAGGATGGAACCTACCATGGCAATGTGAAAAAAAAAAAAATACATTTGTCTCCTAATGCCTTCACAACAACTGAATCATATTAAACACAGATTGATTTCATGGGCTGAATAGTCAAGTTCTTAAATCTTCAGTTACCAAAACATGTTGTCATAAGAAAGTCTTCAGTGAGCCTAACATTACTGCTTAAAACACAGGAGAAAAGAAACAGTGGTAATGGGAAAGCCATATAACAAACATTTCTGAACTTTCAGAAAAGCAAGCTAGAAAGTAAAAATAACGTGTAATGAAATGGACTTCCCTCATTTATTTTCTCTCTGTGAGCAAATGAGCTATAATAAACAGTAAAAATAAAGAAGTCCTAGCAATTGACGACCTCTCACCTTCACCCCATCCATGCTGCTTTTTAAGGCATTTTTCATCCGCTTGGTTTGTTTATTGTTCCTCTGCTACTTCCAAGTTGACCTTCAGATAGGATCCCACCCAGAGTTTTGCAGGAAGCGGAACAGGGCAACAGAAGCAAAAGAGCTATTAGCTGGAATGACAGTTACAAAAATATGTGCAAAGTAATTATATCAGGGCTGTTCCAGTCTTGCTCAAATACAAATATTTTTATTGATGTTTGTCTCAGACCCTTTGGAAAATTTTCAGACACATTGATATCCTATGAAAAAATTCTGTATTTTTTGTTGTATTTTCTCATGACTTCTCTATGACCCTTCCTGTTGTTCCAGGATGCCCTGTTTGGAAAATATTAAGGCCATCATCATTATCATTGACTTAATAATTAGGAAAATTTTTTAAAAATGAATAAACTATATTCTTCTCCATAGAAATTCTCCCTAGTTGCATATATACATGAAATAAATAAAGGCTTCATATAATAAAGCCTGATCTAGAGAATATCTTGTCTATTATGTGATTTAGTCTGGCTTAAAGAAGATATATAATGGAAAGTAATTCACTTCTGCTGGCTTTCTTCCTATGGTAAAAGTAATTCCTGTGTTTGTATTTTAGCTAGTCAACAAGGGTTGATGGGGGAGTACTGAAAAGATACAAACTAAAACGTATTAAGGGCAATTTGGTAGCATGCAATTTAGAGTAGCACAGAGATCTGTACCAGTCTGAAACTCACAGCATATTCTTCAGAGTCTGCTACTGGAGTGATAAGGTCTGATGTTTATAGTGCATACAAAGGGATAGTATGCAGAAAGGTTGCTGTTTATACTTATTGCTGTAAAAACCAAGGTCAGCTCACTTCCTAATGTACCAGGCTGGAGGGTCAGAAGCGGACGAGAGCAGCAGGGTCACACCTGTGGGGAGGAATGGACAGGTGGCCCAACATTGACCAACAGGGTATTCCACCCCATTGGGGAGGAGCTCTTACATTGGAGTTGAAGTACTGTTTAGTTTTTGTCTCATTTCTAATGATCTGGAGACATTTTGGTTTTTGTCAAAGGAGAAAAGGATAAGGTTCTTTTTCTGTACCGTGAATACTTGTCTTGCCAATTCCAGACATTTGCACTGATATCTGGGACTGCTCATGTCTTATCCATTTATCATGTGCTATCCATTTACCATGGATTCCACCTAAAATCTTACAATAGAGAAAAATATTTTTGTGGCTTCTGAAGACACATTGGTGAATGTAAGTTTTTACAAAATGCAAGCATACTTTTATTTCTTATTATAACTTTTCTGTTAGATCTATGAAGCAAAGGATATGTTTAATCTTAGTACTTCCTGGATTTCAATTCTGTAAGTTCAGTATTATTCTTTAGTATTTATGTCTGTCACATGTAGTCATCACCATTTTTCTTGCCTCAAATAACTTGTAGCTACCAGTTTTGGGTGACAGAAGCAGTGCTGAAGGTGAAATAACTTTTTAATGTAATTTTCCTGGCATCAAAGCATCTTGCAAATACTGGTAAAAAGCCATTCTGTGTCAAAATTGTGTTAAAAGGTGGGACCTCTGTGTCATGCTGACAATGAATTCTGCACAATAAAAATTGTGTTTAAGCCCTAAGGCTAGGTGAAAGTTAAATGCTATTTGTTTGTAATCGAAGTGTTATTCATTTGGTAATCGCTTTTTGCCATATATAACATAAAGTCGAATTGCTTAGCATACTGATACTGTAGTGTCAGAGGTCCTGGCCTACTGTCGCTTTTCTCCCTCACACACTGGTGTTTTGCAGTGCAACTCATTTAGGTCATATGACCCAATTTTACTTCCCTGAAAGTGTTTTGTCATTTTCCTTGTTGTATCCCAGGCCTGGGAATTAATGTGATTTAGAGAATTTGTTAAAATTGCCAGGCGACGCGGTCAAAAGATGTGGTGTGGAGTTGGAACTAGATGATCTTTAAGATCCCCTCGAACCCAAATCGCTCTATGATTCTTTGTTGTAAAAACCCATTTGACAGGTTTGTTCCATGTCTGCCTTAGCAGAGTACCTGCCACACCAAAAATTTCAATGTGAAACTGATACTAGAATTTGTTTGCAAGTAGATCTCTGTTGCTTAGCAGAATCCAAGACATTGCTCTTGCCAAAATTCTAAGCAAGTGATGCCTGTAGTGCATTTTAAGGTTTTCAGTAACTGACAACTGAAATTTGTTATGAAGGGGTAGAATGGAAGAAGCACGGTAGGCTTCCACTTGGTGCTGCCAGCAGAGAACACTTGCAACAGGACCCTTTGAACCTGTGGTGTTTTCTTGTAGCAAATATTTATCATTGTTCCTGTAGAATTGATTTCCATGGAAAATATGAAGCTTGCAAAAGTTACATTTGGAAAAATGTTGAAACTATTTGGCCAAAACCTGTGAATTTTTGAAGGAAAACAGTGCCCGTGTAGAAGATGGAATTAGGGATCCTCAGTCTCTTCCTCTTCTCTGTTGCCTGGCCTATCCCAAAGAGGCCATTTCCCCCGTTCCACCCAGTCAAGAGGGGGAAGGGTTTGAGAGAGAAGACCCTGCCCACGGATGCAGAGCCTGAGTGGGGTTCCCTTCCCGGGGGACAACTTGCAGGCCTTAAGTTGGTCAAACAGACTTCCCCTCCGCCTGGCGGGAAAAGACCTGTTTTGCCCCAAAAGCTGTTCAGCCGAGGAGCTCCCCGCGTCCCCCCAGACCCACCGCCACCAGAGGGGGCAGCGGCCCCCGCCCCGCTGCTGCCCCTCCTGCCCGCCCCCTGCCGGCTCCGCCCTCCTCTCGCTGACGACACAACGGCTCGGGCCAATCGGCGCCCGGGCTGCCGGCAGGAATTTGCATGTGTTGACGCGTTGCTGTGGCAACCCCGGGGCGCGGAGGCGGCGGGCCCCTCCCCTGAGAGACCCCGCCAGGGCTGCGGCCGGGGGCGGCTTAAAAAGTAAAGAAGAGGGGTAAAAACCCTCAACTTTAAGGAAGGGGGGAGGGGGAGGGGAAGAGGTGAAGGGAGGGGGGTGGGATGTGATGTCATCCAGGTGTGTTCCCCTAACTTTGCTGTTCAACTCTTTTATTCCACAGAGGGCAAACTGAGCAAAAAGTCAACATCAGGGAAGATCAGGCATTGTGAAAATGGAATTTTTGAGCCACTCTTTGGAGCAAAGGTAATGTTTGGGAAGAGGCGGGTAACATGACGCCTTGTGCGGTCTCTTGGCTGTTGAATCTGAATAAGCGACTCTTCTGCCCTGCCAGCGGGCACGGGCAGATGGGATCCCCTGAGCCTGAGTCCTGGCCTTTCTGGTTTTCACCTAATTTCCTTGAGAAACTCAGGTGATGGTACTGGTAACACGCCTCGGTGACCTCAAGAAGCCTAGGCATAAATCCCACAGTCCTGCGTCCTCGTGCCATTGCATCAGTGCTGGATACCAAACTGCCAGACGGCTGGATTCCAGCAGAGCTCAGAGGTCCAGTTATAAATAAGTAAAAAGGTCAATGAGTGATGATTAGAGTGACTTTCTCTGCTCAGACCAGCTAGCTGGTAACAAATGGGTGTGTAATAGTGCTTACTGCAAGGATAACGCTTCTATTCTCTGGAATTTTTTCCGCAGATATTTGCATGGCAAAACCAGTGTTTGAGTAAACAGTATGTACCACGTCAGATGTTCTGATTTCCTAATTCCCCCTTCGCTTTTCTTGGGAAGTTGACTGGGTTCATTTATATGTGTGCTTTAATAGGCAGGAGAATACAATTGGAATCATCGTTGGCAACTGTTTGGATACTGAAAGCTAGAAATGTTACTCTGTGTAGAAGATAACCTTACCTGACACATAATTACTGGTTGTCCAATATAGCAGAAATTACCTTTCAGTTCTATTTCTGGAAAATATGTGATGCTCACCAGCAATGGGAAAGTTCACTAGAAAAACCAGAATATCTTTTTGGCTTGGAAAGCTACATAAAACAGAAAACTTTGCTGTCATTTCCAAGTGGTTTATTTTAAAGCTGATTACAAAATTTTTTCTTAAGATACTCTCAGTGATCTGATTGCTAAAGTTATAAGTTAAAGCCATTGACTTCAATTACAGATTTATTTATTTATTAAATTTACTTTTCTATTTACTTAATTCCTTAGGATATTGATCTGCAAGAGGATGCGTTGGTTTCTAACTAAGTGAAATTGCAGTTACATAGCAAAGAGTTCAGACATACATGGGTTTTTACATGTCTCTTCATTTATCCCACATTATCTGGGCAAATTTCAGGCTCCTATTCCATATGTATTTCTATTGGCTTGTGGTATTTAACAATAATATGTTAACTAAAGAATTATAAAACAGGGCAATATAGACACATAGGTAACGGCTTTAAATATAGAGTGAAAAAAAGACCACCATTGAACATAACAAATTACAGAGTTTCCAAGGCCCAGCGGTATCAGGTAAAACTTGATATATTTTGTCATCCATGTCCTCTCATACCAATTATAAATTACTGTTCATCTAATCTGGAGGAGAAAAACAATAATGTAAAAGAATTACTTTTTAAGATTTTTTACTAAGAAGACCCTTAAGAAAGAGTGTTTTCCTACCAGTAATCATCATATAATGACTCCAGTCTCATGCTGGATATGAGTGTTTTGATAGTCCTGTTTTCTATAACAGAGGTTTAGTAGGTGGCCATTTTCTTTTTGTGTCACTAACTCATGAATGTTCTGCAAAGTATTAGGATGTGCTATATTGTTCATGCAAGATACAACAATGAGTATTTGATAACTTCTTAGGATTACCAACATTTCACAAAAGAAATGGGAATTTCAGAGTTGTTTTTTTCTGGCCATTTTCCACTTCAGATGGTTTCAACTGTTTGTCTAGATTTCTTCTGGTTGTTCTCTGTTACTGTGGCTTTCTGCTCATCATTCAGTTTTCATATTACTTTTCATAGCTGGTGTATCTTACTGAGCATAGGAATTGCCATGGTAATCAGATTATCTAGTTGAGTATCCTATTCATAACAAAACTACCAAAACCTGAAGTTATGGAGATACTTGTCAGGAGGAGCACTTTCTTTCTATTGAAAAATTATTGAGGTTGATTTACATTGTAAAAGATAAGAACAGTTACCCCTTCTGAATATTTTATCCTGCATGATGTAACTATGTTAATGCAGATTACTGAGAAAAGTCTCTTTCCTGCACTGAATCACTCTACACCATCATCTTCCTTCTGATTTCCACTGACTTATGTCAGTTTGTGCAAGCTGACTTGCCTGGCTTCTATTTTTTGTATCAGACAGACTCGTCGCCGATTATGCATTTATCCATCCACCCTAAAAGATCAGCCTACTTTCCTGAAAGTGTTGCACAAATTGCCTACTCACCATCAAAATCACTGGGAATCAGTCAGATTCTGTGTCAATCGCAGAAATAGAAGTGTTGAATGAAGACGCTTGAGATGGGAAGAGCATGGAGCTCCCTTTGAGCTGTGTAAACTTACCTGCTTCAACGTCTGCTTGGTTTCATGGTCCTGTGTTGTGGGCAGAGTGAACACACCCAGTCTGTTCATTATCTCATATGCCTACTATGATTTGCATAGTGCTAAATGTCACAGATTTACTGCAGTAACTGATAAAGATTAAGAATGTGATGCATAGTATCCCCAGTGTCTCCCAAGCTAGAAATATGTCTATGCTGATTTTTACACAAGAGGAAGTGTGGAGGCAGGGTAACATCATTCATTTAAAATACGAAATGACTGTGTTAAATAATTGTGTGTGAGTAAAACAAAGGTGTCCCCACTTCACCCTGGCGACTTGTAGTGCGTCACTGAGTAAAATACGAAAAGCAAGAACCTTGTTTGTAGGGCATAAAGGATATTTAAGGAATTGCTGGAGCAGGTCCAGAATTTTGAAATTCTGTCAAATTGCATTTTTTCAACTAAAAATGTTTTACTTTTCCCCCTATATTTTAACTAGTAACCATCATAAGTCCTTCACATAAGGTTAGGAGTTAAATCAAAGGAATTATTTCTTATGTTTGGCCTGAGGAGGACATGCTCAAATGAAAGAGCTGCTGAGTCACTAGAACCAGTCTCCAGCTTTCATCTGGAAACACTGTCGTAAAATTAAATCAAATAAATTTGATTAAATAAAATTAACCTTATTATGGCATAGGTGGACAGAGGGTGTCCTCAGATGCTAAGCATACAGTGGCTGCTATTGACATCAGTGACTTTTGGGATGAGCCATAAAGTTTAGGTAGGAAGAGAATCAGATCCAAAGAAAGACATGGAATTTTAAAAAGTTAGAGGAAAATTGCAAAAACCTTTGACTAGGTTGATTGTCTCATCACAGCAGACACCTTGTCTCAGACACAGCAGACACAGAATCATATAGAAACTGTCAGCGTTATGTATTTTCCTTCTCTTACATTCTAATGACCCTTTGCACACGCACACGTAGTGATTGTTTTCTTGTGTAATTGATACAGGTGCATCTTTGAGGGTGATTTTAGTATTGTCTAAATGACACTTTAAACAGTGGGGAAAACTCCCGGAGAGTTCTAGCCCAGCTGTATACATTGGAAAACACTAGCTTTTTAACCTGGTATGTTTGGGTTTGAGTATTCTTGCCTTGTCCTTTTAGCTGGCTGCACCCATCTTTAACGAAGGCGTAACCACCAGCCTCTGGGCTGCAGACAGTGTGGGGCAGAGGGTACTGCTGTACGTGCAGCTGATCCCCTGATGGAACAAGCTTCATACTTGGATGTTTCTGAGTGTGCATTACTCATAAGACATTTAAGTCAGGCTGCTGTGGTGTCAGATTTTACAGACTTACAAAGTCTTGAAGCTGCCAGAAGTGGGGGTACATGCCAATATTTGTGTGTTCAGAGCCTGCAAATTGCTTCTTGAGATAGGAGGATGGATGAAAACGTGGTCACGCTCAGCTAAGACAAGATAAAGTGTCCTGATGTATAAAACTGTGGATTTCCTACATCTCAGTGGTCTTTATTTACATTTAATCAAATAATATATTATTCTTTTCACATAACCAAAGGAAAAGATTAGTCTCTAGGACTAATCAAAGGAGACTTCTCTAGCCAGGAACTGTGGAGAAAATGGAGTGCTGAGCTGGAAAAATGTGAGGGGTTTAATGTGTGGTTAATTTGCTAAAAATACTGTTGGAAACATAAGAATGTTTTTCCCTTTTATCTTTCAGTGAAAAACAGATCCAACAGTAAGATACTACAAATTATCCAATATTTTTGTCCAACTTATGTTTGAGTATTTTGTCTTAACAGATTTCTAAAGTGATTTATAATTTAGCGGTACAAAACAACATTTAGCACAAGAGAAAATGCAGCTTGAGATGTTGGTTTAATTTTCATTTGCTTTCCCTTAAAGAATAACGGGAAGCCTCATAGAAAACATTTTATTTGGAAAGACCCTGAAGCAAGGCTTTTTGGCACTCATCACAGGATGTCAGTTTGGTCCTTTCTGACACTCTTTTATATGTAAATGTAATGAAAACTTGGTAAAAAGTTTTCATTGACTATGTCTACCTTGACTATAAAGTTAGGGATCAGCCTTAGGAAATCCTGTGGCTGGATTGATTTAGATTTGGGGTGCTAGAAAGTCTAGATTAATTTCCTTTTCTTTCTGATTTGCTTTGTCATGCTCAGCAGATCACTTAATCTCTCTCTTTCTGTATCTTTTGTCATCTTAGACTGAGTTGTTGTCCTTTGTCTTTTCACACAGCCCCGCTCAGATTGAGAAACCAGGATCTCTGGGTACTACTGTAGTGCAAGAAGTTGTTGCTTGTTGCTTCTCATTTAAAGCTATGTGAGACATCAGTCATTTATGTAACAGTAACATTAGTGTTACAATTTAAATAACTTTTCTTTTAGAATACTTGTGAGTTTAGTCCAATTTATACGAATCACCTTTATTAAATGACCTATATCACAATAATAGTGGTGGCACAAACAGAAAGCTTAAGACTTCAAGCACTCAGTGATAAACAGGCAGAATGAGTATACAACAGAGTGTACTGCTGAAGGCAAACAAAGGGAAAATTTATCTTCCAGAGTGAAGTGGGGGTTTGCATAAATAAGGGCTTACACAACTAGGAACTCTTGAATTAAAAACTCTTAATACTGGATTAACCAGTATATTTTTGCAAGCTAAAATTAGTTTATTCTTTTTCGACACTGACAGCCTGATCTGTAGCTGGACTTACACCAGGCTGTTGTATTTGAATGCCACCATTTTGGAGCCATATGTTTCCTGCTTCTTTTATTGTATCTCTGTGGCCTGTCACACACTTCCTCAGTCAGAGCAACCCACGCAGACATTCTTGTAACTCTGTTATGTGAGTTCTGATTTTGTAAGCACTCTCCAATTATAGATAACCTCTCCAAAGAGCCTCCCGGATGTAAGCCAGTGCCACCTCAAGCAAGTACTCCAAATAAATCCTTTTCATAGCTTTGTCAAACACTGTTTTAAAAATAGTAAAGGAATCGGTTGTTCCCACTATTTATTTTGCTCGTTTATGGTCCTCCCCTCTAAATCCAGATGTGAAAGTTGTCTCTGCCTTCAGAGGGAGTCAAGCACATCCAAGGGGTATTACTTTGAGATGTATAAGATGGAAAGCTCTGTGACCTTTGTTTTAGCTCTGTGTTTATCTGGTACAAGGACTTATCTTGTCCCTGTCTGCTGGCAGATGGGAACAGTGACAGTAAGCCAGCTGTACAGTTTAAATAGAGTTTCCAGTCTGATACAGCTGCACATGGAGATGCTGCGATATCAGTCAGCATTCATAAACTATACATAAACAGATTCCCCAAATCGTCACAACTGTTCCTGTATTTTGTCCATTGAATAAGCACAGTTGTGTCCTGGCAGCAGGATGCTTCATGCAATGTGTTCTTCCACAAGGTAAACTCTGTTTTTTTCAGCTGGGAGGTCTCCATGTGGAATTCTAGCAAAGTCAAAGGCAGTAGTGTTGAGGATTCATTGGAAACAGCCAATTTAATCCCCCAGCTAGCTCAAGTATGTTTTGTTCAATTCAGTCGAGGAATCCAGGCTTATAAAACGACCTTATAATGGGTTTTGAGGAATTGTTTACATGAGAGAATCAAGAGAGATGAAAAACAGAGAGGGTCAGTCTTTAGAAATGGGCTGCATACAGGAAATAGGAAACGTATGTGTCAACTTTGCTTCCAAGTTCCTACACTGACATGAAAGAAGACATAAAGGACATTTCAGGGAAGAAGTTTCCACTTGCCTGTATAGGTTGAATCACACATGGCAGCTAAGAGAAGGCAGTGATACTGAAGCATGCGTAATAATGCTATTGTTGCAATTTCTGGTTAGGATAAGCTTAAAAACAGAGTCCAAGGGTTCCAGTTTCTTCTTCAGGACAAGAAGATAAGAGATGTACTGAGCTGTTTGCACTCTTGTCACTATGTTCTGTTTTGGTTAAAGTGAAACTCTCAGACTAAAGCTGAACTAGCCATAATGTTTCACTTGCTTTTAATCAAATTGAACTCATCCATTAGTTGCAAGTGCCCTGTCACTGCAGTTCATAAGACTGTTTTTTAAGTATTGTACTCAGTGGAACTGCAGAGGAGAGGAATGTTTTTACACAGCTATATGCAGTGATCAACTCCACCTTCCTACAAATAACATGTTGCAACATTTTAAAAAGAAACAAGTAAGATAGTCTTGTTTTGAAAAGAAATGTCCCAACCCTGATTTACTTTCACATCTTTACTACTGAACTTGAGAAAAGAAGATTTGAACTGCTAGTATGCCTTTTCATTTCACACTGAATTTATAGGAAGTTTCCAAATAATAGCGGTCAACTTGGCAGGAATAAATGTAGACCAAATGGTGTAATCCCCACAAGGAAGCATAATTCTCTTATGAAGTATTTACAATAGCAAGCTTGGAAATCCAACAATAGGTTATACTGTTAATAGGTTGTTTATAGCTTCTTTTATTGACTGATTCATTCTTAATAGTAACAGATTTAGTCACCTAACACTCTTCATGTGGCAGGCAGTTTGATGTCCACTGTTGCTTTAAGAATCCTCTCAGGTAGCAGAAAGTATTGTTCTGACATAAATCAATAAATAGGACATAAATAGGACCTTGAAAAGTTCAGAAGTTCCCTGAAATGTAGCTGAACTTTCTGATGCTCCCTTTCTGTGACCCTCCAATAACCCTTATCTCCCCTGCCTTTGTGACCCTTTAATGTTTCCCTGGCTCTCCATTCCCTTCATCCTCCTAAAGAGCTTGGCTACTTCCCAACTTGGATTCATCCAACAGGCCACCCTCCTTGGAAACTCTCCCAGTCTTTGAAACGGCCTTGCAGTAGGGTAACCTCAGTGCTAGTTTGCAAATTTAAATTTCACATACTGTTGAACCATTCACTATGTAACTAAATCACACTCACAATCTGGTCAGAATCGGCAAAATTGTGTTTGTGGCAAGTTGTGGTTCAAAGTGATCAGACTTCTGTAAAGTTAAGGTCTTCTATAAAGAAAATGGGGGAAAGGATTGGGATTTGTTGTCCAAATAGATTTTGTAATACTTTCTACAGAGTTAAAGGTTTTTGCATTAAGGTTACATTGCTGGTGAGGTCAAAAAAGTTTTCTTTAAAATGGGATAGCACCAGTTTGAAGCCAGCTTGCTGCCCGAGTATTATTAATTGCTACTGTCAAAACTGCTTGTAACCCATCTTTCTTTGTTTGTAGCATGTTTTTCCACTGGATATTTCACAATTATACATTGTGTAGGAGTCAGACAAAAAAAGGGGTTTTTGATATCTGAAATAAAAGTTCCAGCGCTACAGTTTTGTGTACCCTTTAACACACATTATATGATTGTCTGATAGCTTCAGACATGAGAGGATGCTACAGCCTTGTACTTTATTATATTTTTCCACAGACTGCAGTTATCTAGTAGAGTTTTAGAAGAGGTGTTAACTTTGAGTGCTAAGTATATTGTTCCTCAATAATTTTATTTTTAACAGCTAACTGCAACATACTTGTCCGGAGACATTTGTTCCAATACAAATTACAAATTGGCTCTGATGGTCTTCACATCTTCTAATTTGTGTACAAACAAATCTGAGCTTCACAGGAGATTTTGTAAAATGAGGAAGTGTCACAGGTGTCCCTGGAATATGCAACTTTGTGAATATTTAAGCCAAGCAGTGTAAATGTAGAAATCTAAACATCTACATCTTTGTGTGCCTGGCAAGAAGACAACTAATTGTGTGAACCTGGTGACAACTTGTTTTTTCGTTGTTGCCTATGTCCTTAAGGTATCTCCTAGAATATTTATGAGAGATTAGAGTCAGCTCAGGGCTTCCCAGTGACCCAGGCAAAATTTATCATCTCAAGCTTAATGACAAAACTGTGTTCTTGTCCTTGGTCATAGTAAAATTAACCTTCTGGGTTCAGAGGTGGGAGTCATAAGGGTGAAAAGGCTGCTGAGGGGGAGCAAAGTCTCCCATGGTGGCATGACAAAAGAGCAGTTCAGAGCAGATCCAGGTTGGTTGGTGGCAGCAGAGAATGTGACCTGAGGTGGGTCAGTGGGATCTCTGGGCAGGTAAGTTTGGGAGTTAGGAACTCTCTGAAAGTCTGGAAGGGTCGAGATAAAGGTTGGAACATTCAGTAAGGGAAAGGTGACTGTGAAGTCAAAGGAAGAGCTGCCAAACCCAGAGCAGTGGTCATTACACCTTGACCCTATCCTTGATGGCAAAATAAGCAATAATTGGCTGTTTCTTCTATTATAAATAATGTAGACAATGGTGACCTTTCTGTCCTTGGCAGTCACCTGTCTATGCAGCCACTTGCTTGTTTATGACTAAAGCTGGCCTGCTATTTAATTTTGTATCATTGCAGTAAAAAAAGAGCCTCTACCTTAACATGCTTGCAGTCTGAATTTTATTTTCTGAGCCTTGGAGAACCAGCACAAAAGACTGTCTCTGTGAGAAACTAACATTTAAGTGATATAACACAAAGTTGTCTGTATACAGGGATAGATAGCAAACTGAAAAACTGAAATATGTCTAGCACTGTCTTCTTGAGATTAAACAAACAAAGTGCCCTTAACTTCTCCAAATATAGCATGTGCTTTAACCCCTAAAGGATCTATGTAACCCTTATTGATAAACTTGCTCCATTTTATTAATATCTCTCCTGTACTGGGAGAATCAAGACTGGTCAGAGAATTTGAGATACTTACTCACAAGTGCTGAGTAAAGGGCCGAATAATTTCCTTCAGCCTACAGACTGGGAACATCTTCCTTGCTGAGTGTCCCTTTGGAGATTGGACATCAACATTCCTCTGCTAAGGGATTTATTCTCATTTCTCTTGAGACAGGGAAATTATGTTTAACTATCAACATAAATGGCTTAGAAATTAAAGATTGTGTCAGAAATACCAGTTTTGTCAATAGCTGAAAATAAAGCATTATGATTATTCTCACAAAAAAAACTCATAAAAAATACTCAGCAGCTTCAGTTTGTACAAACCCATCTTCTTTCACGTCCTTCATGACTTTTCATCCTCTGAGGCTAGAATTTCAGATTTAAATTGTTCAGCCGATCACTGGGGATAGGATATATTTGTTGTTATTTATCTGCTATTTAAAAATGTGATGAGCCACTGGTTGGTAACCTTAGCGAAACAAGTAGTGTTTACTAATTTGTACTGGTTTAATTTATTTCAGGTTCATGTAAAACCAAAAGGCAAAACTAAATCAGGCAGAAAACCTCTTTCCCTACTGAAAAGGCCATTAGGTGGAGTTTTCCAGCTTTGAAGTCCGCAGTATATTCTGGCCCATGAAACAGAATTAAGATGGAGCATCCTATAGAATAACAGACTTTCTCAAACCCTTTATGTGTAGGATAGACAGAAGTTTCTTGAAATGTTTTACTCTTCATGGAAACAAATGTCAAGAAAAAGAATCTGAACAAAACCTGTAATGCTCTGCCAAGTGCCGGAAAGGCCCCTGCTACTGTCCCCAGTATCCAACCTTCAGAGCAGCTTTCACTATCTACTGTGTCAGATCTTCCCAGAATTTTGCCCGAAGTAGTACATCCAGAAGCTGGACCCCAGAAAAGGCGACCAGGCACTGCAATAATATCAAAACGGTCAGACACTTCAAACATGTCCCAGATGCCACTGAATCGGCCCATCATCCCACCAAGAAGACCTCAGTTCAGGGTATGCTATATCTGTGGCAGAGAATTTGGGTCACACTCTATTTCTATACATGAGCCTCAGTGCCTAGAGAAGTGGCACATTGAAAACAATCAGCTACCAAGACATCTCAGAAGAGCGGAGCCCAGGAAACCTGAGGTCCTTACTGGTGGCTCCTGTATGCGTACAGCTGAAAATGAGGAAGCTTATCAAAGTGCTCAAGCCCAGCTCCTGCCCTGTGGAAACTGTGGCCGAACCTTCCTTCCTGACCGTCTCATTGTGCATCAAAAGAGTTGCAGAGGAGGTAGCAGCAGTGTGGGGCTGTCAAGGTCTAGCCCCAGTAAATCTTGTAAAGGCTCAGGCTCTGTGTCTGGCTCAGCAAGTAATGGTCTATCCAAGACCTGTCAAGGAAAGAGAGGGGTTGCGCCAGCCGTATCAGACAAGGTAAATTGCTAATCACATGCTATACGAAAGGATGTGGATGCATTTTGAACCTAGACACTCCAGATGAGACTGGGTTCCCATCAAATTTAAAATCACTTTCCTTCAGGAGGGTCTTTTGGCTCCATGCAGATATTTCTCTGCAGAACAGTACGTAAAGGGAAGGGGAATACTGTGTGCATAAAGGAAACTTCTAATTCCTATTTCTTTTGATTTTTCTGTTGAAAGGGAGTACTTGGGTCCTCACACTCTGTGGTCCTGTGAGAGTTATGTACCCAAAAGGGACCCTTGTGTGCTATAGTTCCATGGGAGATTCTGTTGGGCAGCTTAGGCTAGCTTTGAATGTTACATGTTTTAGCAGGTTTTAGGTATTTTTATTTAGCTAATATGAAATAGAATGTTTTGTTATCCTGTAAACACTCCAGTGATTTTCATTTTTGCCATTATTCTTAACCTTGGCATGGAACACAATTTTACTGAGGACTGCATGTTCAAAGGCAGCAACTCAGAGTATAACAACAACAAAATAAGACTGCACATTTCTTTCCACTGAATTTGATTCAAGATCCAAGAATAAAGAAGCTGATTCACATTATCCAAAAGCTACACAAAGTTTTGGAAAATGGCATATTTTTTTCTGCATTTGTTTCTGCACAAGCTGTCTTTTGGCCAGGAGTTTTGTAAAAAGATAGATGTCTAAATTTAGGCCCAGTGTCTAAAATAAAAGACTTTTTTTTTTTTTTTTTTCCAGGGGGGGTTGGACTCCTGATTGCCTACATTAGTTTTGAAAATGGGATGTAGCTTTCTCAGTCACCAAAGGAATGTAATGCCCCCCCGCGCCCCCCCAGCCCCCCCGCCCCCAGGGGGGGCAGCGGCCCCCGCCCCGCTGCTGCCCCTCCTGCCCGCCCCCTGCCGGCTCCGCCCTCCTCTCGCTGACGACACAACGGCTCGGGCCAATCGGCGCCCGGGCTGCCGGCAGGAATTTGCATGTGTTGACGCGTTGCTGTGGCAACCCCGGGGCGCGGAGGCGGCGGGCCCCTCCCCTGAGAGACCCCGCCAGGGCTGCGGCCGGGGGCGGCTTAAAAAGTAAAGAAGAGGGGTAAAAACCCTCAACTTT